AGCGAATTGGTCACACTGTCAACCTAGGTTGGTCAGAAAACTTCTTGGCTCGTACCTTCCATAGCTACCTAAGTGCCTACCTTACTCGTTAAGATTGTTCGCTTCTTGCTGAGTTCTCTGACGAGTTAGAGTAGAGGGATTTAGGACTCAGCAACTGGATAGTTGATACCTTGTAAATTTTATACATCAGCTGCGTGACTTCCAAACACTAATCTTTCCTGACCTACGTATCAAAGTAGGTAGCTTCTGAGTACTTTGCAAAGCATAACTACCTGACTAAGTAGAAAGCCATTTGTATGCATTACACAAGTAAAGATCATGTTACGTCTGATTGACTGTTGATATACTTTTTTCTCGTCACCTTGCTTCGCAGTCCTTCCTCAGTGGTTATTTGAGGCTGACTGAGTTCACCTCTGTCTTCAAAGTGAAGCGCAAACTTGGAATGGAGATTGCGGAGGTGCTAGAAGTGGAGACATCGATGGTGGATCATGGAACTCTAGGGCCCGCGCGGGACCGTTCCCCCGCCATCCAAGGAACCAAGACAATCTAGATTCCACCCGTGGGACACATACACAACAGTTAAAGTACCTACAAAATTGAACTGAATAGATGCGCCTGATCACGACTCTCGAAGCTGGAATCCTATAACAATGGGAGCCAAGTGGCACTTCCAATTCCGGACTACGGTGTAATCATCCCGATCATCTGGACAGTACAGCTGGCGAACAGACCCGCAAATATTCTGAGGTCTAGAATGGACGGTGGACAATTTCGACGATTTCTTTGTTGTACATTGTCAAATGAATCCACCTCTGACACGCCACATTCTCCATATTGTTTTGCACTAGCCACTCGTCAGCCACACGAAGATGGCGCAGCACTATTATGGCTTTTTCGAGGCACACTCCTCACTCCTCAGGCAAAGTCACCTCTCATTGTAGCATTGAATCATAAAAGCGCTTTAGACAGAAAGTCAATCTTATTGAGCGATGTCTCTTTCGTAAGAGACTGCTAAATTTCAATTTCAACGGGGCTGGTAAACCGTCTAAATCGCTCACCGGGTCAAGCCTACGAAGGATCTTCAAGGCATATGCTCTGTCTGCTGAGAATACCTTGGCAGCTGGCCAGGCGCCTTCAAGGCTCCCCGGCGGAGCTAAGAGACAGCTAGTGACACTGGGCATATTCTCACCCCCTGTCATCTATCAACAACTCATCGTCGCTACAGGTACAGCAGGCTCAAATGTTCGCAACAGATTCTATCACGTAAATGGTTTGTCTCGAGGTCTGAGCATTGAGGAGCTGAAACGTCTATGCCACTGCTGGATTTGCTGCCTAACCTTCAAAAAATTAGTAATGTAATGACATGACTCACAAGCGCAGTTGGCGCAGTTGCCATAATGTTGTTGAGAAGAACTACTGAAGGTTCTCCAGATCATTATTACTACTGAGTACTGTTATTATTTTTGGTCGGTGGCGGAGAAAAGAAACCATGTTTTGCGGGGAGCATATAAACATCATCTAGAACATGTTGTGCAGATTTCGGGGCATTCGACTTCCCCTACTGGCGCTGAAATTCTCGTTCGAACCTGAAGGTCCAGAACCAAGGATCAACCTGGACCTTGGCCACGTTCACTTATCCAACTACGTACTCTCAAAGTTGGGACAATGGACTGGATGGTTACGGGGTTGAACGTTTTTGTTTTTTCCTTTGTCCTTTGTGGTTGATCACCTCCTTTGCGCGATTTCATTATTATAAAATTATTGTTCAATTTGCTTAGAAGTGAAACAGGATATTCATACAGAGAAGCTACTGAAAAATTAGAGAAACAGCAGCGAATTGCTTCATACCTATCTTTAAACTGATCTAAAGATGAATAGTACAAGAGACAACTGTTTCTGAGCAGTATCTTAGATATAGGAAATAGACGGGGGGAAAAAAATAATAGAAATAAATTAAAAAAAATAAATAAATAAAAAATATGAATGATTAAATAAATAAATAATAGAACCCATCATTAAGGTAGATATTGTGGGCCAAGCGCTAACCTAAATTCACGGTCCCACCTCTCTCGTAGTATGTAGCCTCTGCTCTTCTCCATCTTCCCTGGATGCCTATGGCTCTCTCGTTACTAAAGCTCAAGAGCAAACTTTCAGAAATCCTCGAGATTATAAAATACGCGTCACGAGAGAAGGAGTAGAATATCCGTATGAGAAAGGAAACAAAAGAGATTAGTCACTGAAATGATAATCTAACAGAAGGCGAACGACATATCTGACCCCAGGATTACAATTTCTGAGGAGAAGGAATTCCGTACACCAACGATACGTCCAAATCCGGCGCTCTGGATAACTATTTACTTAGACTTTTCTTTGAGTCAAGCTGCCCAACGCCTTTTTGGGCGTGAGACCACCTCGCTAGGGGCGGTGCAAGGCTGGATGGACACAAGGACCAAGAGACGCAAGAGATGGACTATAGATCTCGGGACAACTTGCAGAACTCCAATAGACGTCTGACCAGGTTGAGAGCAAAAGATAGATTGCGGTGTGCGTTTCTAGGTGAGACAGGGTACTGTGACATATATTATCATTGTCGGATGAGAGATCCTTCGACGATAGTTTCGTGCTCTACGCTGTCTGACTGGTCAGGCAACGGCTGACCTGACTCTAGGTCAGTCTACAATGGTGAACCTGCAGCAAATAAGCTAGTTTGGGATAGGTATCTCGGTGAAGTATAGGTTGGAGGAGGACTTAGGTCAATCAAAGTATCTTTTGGGAAGTTGGTGTACCAGACACGACAGCAACTAGGCACTTATAAAAATATCTAAAATGCTTTTGGTCTCTGTCACCCAAATACAAAGCACTCTAATCAAACAGACAGGAGGCCTAATAGATGCAATAGAAAGGAGAAGGCCCGATGTCAGTATACAAAGAAGGCTGGAAAGCTAGATCAAAATGACGGCTTTGGTTTCGCTTTTGTTGCATCGTGACTGGCGACCAAGGGTCTGCTTTTGGAGACTGATCCAGCATAGCTTGCAGCATTGGAGGAGCTGTATCATTGCTTTGATATTGCAAAGGTGACAATGGATTTCTGGCGCCGGGAGACCGAAATATGCCTTGAGGAGCTGTGGTGATATCATACCGGTGTGTCCAGGAGCCGATATGGAGGAGGTCCATCTGTTGCTGAGCGGCGTAAGACATTTGGTTTCTTGAAGAAACCCCAGTTAGCCTGAGAAGGCTGAAAGGGAAAAATTCCTCGAACTGAGAGGTAGAGTTTGAAAACAACTGGGACTGACTACCTTGGATTGGTCGACATTGGCATAATCATACACGACAGGGTCGTGACAGGAATCGGGTAGGGTCGGCTGTAGCAGGAGGATAAGAGAATTCGATACCGGTGAGCTCCTTCTCAGTAAAGAGGGTGTATCGCAGCGAAGAGCCCTGTTAGAGTGCTATAGCTCCCTCTACACGGAGGGAGGTGACCTTCTTATAGGAAGCATCGCATCGCTAGGGATAATGTTGAAGAGAAGGTCGGATAAAAAGACAAAATAACAGAAACCCTTCCTTTCATCTTTTTTAGAGTTAAAAATGATACAGCACCGAATAGGTGCAACAGGGACATCCCGAGGGCAGGCAGTATTGGCTCAAATCAAGGCAACAGCTCCAAGTGTGTCCCAAACTATTTGTTGACGACACGGATAGCTTCTCTCTGGTGCAACTTTTCCAAACATGAATCGCCATTTCACCTTGTGCACGTTACCTTCTGGCCGGATGTATCCCAAGACACTACCTATTGGCCTAGCATATCCATTTGACTGATCATCACAGTAATGGGTAATAGATTCTTGAAACACGCAGATGCTCGAATCATCATTCGCCAATTGAAATTCATGAGCTGCAAGCTTCAGTACTGGCTTGGCCTCGTCAAACTCTCCTTCGCCTCTCCTACCTATTCTCGAGCCAGCGAGCAGCAACAAGTCCTTTGGGTGTTCATGTGCGCTTGGAGGTCACTGCGTCCTGGTCCCCTCCCTGCGCCTCCCCTGTTGAGATCCTGCTAATTTTCCTATTTCTCATTTAGCTTACCTTCTGGAAGCATAAAACGGTCTTCCGTCTTCTGGGGTCCATGACTCGCTGTGTGCCTGACGGCTGGTCCCTGGCAGGATCTGTCAGCCTTGCCCTGTGACCTCGCCGAGTACTTAGGCAACCGACGATTAGACACGAATAATTCGGTGGATCGTAGATTAACAGAAGGTTTAAAAACGCAATCATCGCTTGCTGAGGCAGATTCGATACCTTGGCCCACGTATAGATCATCAACAACACTTTTATAGGCTTTCTTACTGCAATCAATTTAAAGTATGTGTACGTAATGGGTTGCACGTTCACCATGGAGTTCAAGCCACTCATGGGAGGGGTACTGGATATATATTTCTTTTTTTGACAGACATCCACAAGATACCTATCTATCTAATAAGCCGGGGCAGGGGAGGATGATATAGCAATACTGAAATGAGTACACAGACACTCACTAGTCAGTCAGCGGAAACGAGAGCAAGATTTTCTAAATCATATGATGACTTGATGCAGTGTACGCCCATGCGGTTACTGTAAACTTCACCGGTAGTAGTAATCCGGACCTACATTAGATATGTCGAGCAACACAAATTCAAGGAGCTACCAACTATAGCATGATAATATTTATTCTTCTCAATCAAGCTTCCTTTTTTAAAAGACACTTCTCTAAGCTGATCCGACCCTGGTCCAACCCACCATATAGTTACAACGAAGTGGTTTCTCAGCCTTGTATTAGATCAAATGTGAGAGAAGAGTGAAGACGCCAAGCCAAGCAGCAACTATCCAAGAATCGCGCCATATACATGCAGTTGACCCTTCTAGTCAATAATAATAACACCAGTAAAAAAGCGGGGTTAGATATAGTACAAGTTCTACGCTCAAAGACAATCTTGTCTGCGCTCCAAAGTAGAGAGGACAACCTGGGTAATCTATGAAGTCGTTCCGAAAACGCGCAGAATCACCTCATACCTAAAGCGACGATGTCAGAAGCTGGTCATCTGTACAAACAGGGATAAGAGATACTCACATTCCGAACATGATGGCGGCTGACGGAACTACACGCAGCAAATGCGGTGTGAGACCGCCATACAATCCGACCATACCCTCCTCCTTCCACACAGTTTTAAAGCACTGCACAAGACCGGTGTATTTCATCTGAACCTTGCCATCCCCCACAGATAGAGTGGGGGCTTGCCTCAGCCTCGTTCGGACAACTTCGTGGGGGTACGTGGCGGCCGCAGCAATCAGTTTCGCCATGCCCGCGGAGCAGATTCGACCACCCCACAACTCCACATCGTCCCAGACGTTGTAGATGTGATTGGGATCAGCACGCTTGGCTGCTTCCCTGCGCGCTAAGTACATCTTCATTTGTTCGTACATCACCCATTGTAGAGTTGACTCGGTCACACCGAGGTATGATGCGGAAAGTCCCTTGTACAAGCCTCGAATGCCCTCGTGGCGCACCGTCTGTTTGATACAGTCCCAGCTGTTCATATACTGACGGCCTTTGCCATTCACGGCGTTAGACTTGTCTAGTTGTAAGCGTGTCTTTACCAGCCAGATTGGGTTGGTGGCCGTTCCTGTGGCAATTCCTGCTACGGCGGCCGCCGTCAGATGGATTCCGACGGGCGTCTCCTTGGAATCGTAGTATTGAAAGTAGTCGCTAAGTATCCGCTTTCCGTTTCCATATACGTAAAAGTTAATGGCGCGTGCCGGAACAACGCCAATGAGATTGGGTCCAAGGCCCTTAAACAGTGCGCGCCAGCCCTCATGGACATGTATCGAGCGCAATATCTGGAAGGTCTCGCTAAAGTGCATCATAGCGGTCCGTGGAAGTGAAGCAAGTGAGTTAGATGGTGGCAATGGGTGAGCGGCACGAAGAGACTTGAGCTGGGCTTGGTAGAAGTCGGACTGTAACCGGGTTTTCAGGACATCAAGAGGAGAGGTAAGAGTCGCGGCGGTCATTCCACCAATTCTGTGAATCTATCGCATTAGCTTCGAGATTCATCTCAACTAGCATAAAACTATAATTTCTTACCCGCCAGCGACAAAATGGGCGAAAGGCTTCGCTTGGCTCTTTTTGCCATCTTGTGTGATGGGTTGCGTCCCTTGAGGTAGAATTTCGCCAGTCTCCCTTGACTGTAGCAATAGATCTTGACCAAGAGCCGCTGCAGACTCTCTTGCTTCCAGATGCGCCTGCGCAGAGCTGGAGTGAGAAGTGGCTGATAGAGGCATCAACGAGGCCTGGGGTATTATCGGGACGGAGAATACGGCAACGATCGGTCTGACACGGAAAGCAGTAGCATTTAGGCAGTGATAGCCATGAAGAGGGAATATTCTCAGAAGTAATGTACAAAGTGATGCTGATAATTCCAAATCGAATTAATAAGGAGGCGTAACTGGCGACGAGGATGATACGTTCGATTTCAATTTTTTTTTGGCGACAGCTTATTTTTGCCTGGGCGGAACCTCTGGGCGGAACTCTCTGCCACTGCCGATTGGCAATCTCTTCCGTCGCCGCTTTAACGGCTAATGCAGGAACCCCTACTTGGATTATTTCATTCACAGAGAATGAGGTCTCATAGCGTCATTCTTTGACCGCTTTAATGTATCTACCTAAGCTCTAGTGGTCCCATGCATAATCCCACTCTAATTCAGTGCTCGGTGGCGCGGGTAGAGGCGCCGCTTTAGGTCGATGCTACCTCGTTGCAGTCGGCATGACAATTGCTTACGCCTACCGATTGGAGTATCTCTAGTGAAATGACACGATCTTGCGAAATATCTACTCAAGTGATTGATTGATTGTCACACCTAGAAATAGCAATATCGCAGGAGTTGTGGGCGCGAAAGTTGTCTGGCAGATTGACCAATAGGTGCCTTTAAGAGACCCGTTCCAGCCAGAATATCCAAATCATACTGGTTCTTCGAAGGGGGAATCGAAAGGTTTGTCTTTTTTTCTTTCATTCAGGGGAATCTATGCACAGGCTTGAGATGTGCTAGAACATCTGAGAACCCTAATTTTTTATCGCTTCGTCTCAATGCAAAGTCCACCCATAGACGGAAAAACCCAGAAACACCAAACAACCGCATCGGCCATATCCATTCGTTTAGATGTGGGTGTCGTAAGGGATGGGGGTGATGGTCTCAGCGGCAACACCCTCAACAACGTGGCCCTCACGGGGCATGGCAGGCTGTCTCTTCAGGTGGAGGTGAATGCCCTGCTCCTTGGCCTGGCGCTTCTTGGCGGCGTTCTCCTTGACACGCTTGATGAAGTCCTCACGGGAACGGGAGTGCTTGACGTGCTCGATGCGAACGTTGATGCGCTTCTCCATGTAGCGGTTGCCGACAACCTTGTAGATGATGACACCGACGGAAGACTTGGTCACGTTGTAGACGACACCGGTCTTACCGTTGTAGACCTTGTAGGGCATACTGTTCCAAAATTTCAGCAAACAAATCCTCGAATTTTCCATCACAATCACGTATAGTCCGCGCCTTCCGGGCTCCTCGTGATTGCAGCGGGCGGAAATTGTACTGACCCCTTCTGAACGGCACCGTTGACCTTGATATCCACGATGTCGCCAACCCTATGAAAACAACAATCAGATCCTGCTCGCACATCTCTCCATTATCATGTTCAAATTTCTGGTTCGTACCGGTAGGTCTTCAGGTAGGTCGACAGACGGATCATGCCATTCTCCTTGAAGCCGCGGCTGAAGGCATACTACAACCATCGTCAGCGCTCCGTTTCAGTCCGCGAAAAAAAGCGTCGATATGAATCCATCGCATGAACGTACGCGAGTGCCCGATCTCAAACCGTGGGAGTGACCCATTTTTGCGGTGTAGGTGGTGCTGGTGTTGAAAAATTGTCGACAACGAAGAAATGCCTCCTTCTGCCGCACTTGGTGATGGTGTCAACGTCCTCGGGTGCATTTGGTGCGCCGCCAGGGCTAGCCCTAGCCCTAACCTCAACACGGTTAGTCTCCACTCTTCTCCTCGCTTGTTTCCGCCCCAAAGAGCATCCTTCAACTTCTGAACTTTGCGATCTTCGTGAAGTTTGGTGTGCTCGACAACATCACGACAACGCGCAATCAGCAGCCATGGCCCCCGTCCCGTGAGTATATACATTGTGGTAAATGCGAAATGAAGTCTCATCGTTCTAATTACCGATTCTGCTTTACAGTCGCGTTTACTCCAAGACCTACAAGGTCCCTCGTCGTCGTAAGTATTTCTAATATATCCAAAAATGGAAAATTCATCAAAGTCGGAATAAACGCTAATTGATGTTCAGCTTTCGAGTCGGCTCGTCTGTTAGTACTCTCCGGCCACTGATCAGAAGCGTGCTTCTGTTTAAGTCGTGTGTTCCATGCCTAACCTTTGGTCGATAGTGACTCGGAACTGAAGATTGTCGGCGAGTACGGCCTGCGCAACAAGCGTGAGGTGTGGCGTGTCCAACTCACCCTGTCCAAGATCCGTCGTGCTGCTCGGTATGCGCTTTTTCAGCCCTGCGACAATTGAGAAGCAGTGACTAACATATTCCGGTCTAGTGAGCTTCTCACCCTCGACGAGAAGGACCCCAAGCGTCTTTTCGAAGGTAACGCTTTGATTCGTCGTCTGGTCCGCATTGGTGTGCTCGATGAGTCCCGCATGAAGCTCGATTACGTCCTGGCCCTCCGTGTCGAGGACTTCCTTGAGCGTCGTCTGCAGACCTGTGTCTACAAGCTCGGTCTTGCCAAGTCCATCCACCACGCTCGTGTCCTGATCAAGCAGCGTCACATCCGGTATGGCTCACCATTCGATAGCGCTAAGGAAATGATGCTAACCTATTTTAACCAACAGTGTCGGCAAGCAGATCGTCAACGTGCCTTCCTACATGGTTCGCCTTGACTCCCAGAAGCACATCGACTTCGCTCTCACCTCCCCCTACGGTGGTGGCCGCCCTGGCCGTGTCCAGCGCAAGAAGGCCGCTGCCGCTGCTGGCGGTGATGGTGAGGAGGCTGAGGAGGATGAGGAGTAGATGTCTTAACTAAAAATCAGGAGTACGGCCGGGTCTCGTTTTGGAAATCAAAAATCATGAGGGGTTCCATGGTGTCTGCAGCATAGCGTATCATGTTGTATGATCATGCACGTCAATGAATTAGATAGCCTACGGGCTTCATTTCGAGACCCAATTTGTACCATTGTGCTGTAAATTTAGATACCACCGCTTTCGCCTATATACACCCGAATTGTGGAATGGCGACGCCCCCATAATACAAATCCAGTCATCAATCATCGGGCCTGCTGTCTCATCCCTCAACACCCACCAGACTTTTCAGTGTTTCCTCTGCGCTCCTGTACCACCTGCCCAACTCTTCGAGGCCGTCGCTCTTGCCTTCCTGTTTCATTCTCTGTGCCTCCCGTGCTTGTGCGGTTGCTTCGCTCCTGCGTCTTTCTAATACACTCAATTCTCTTTCCATTGCTTCGGCTTCTCTTGTCTTGCGTGGCAGAGCATTCTGTACTGCCGCAAGTTGCCGATTTAATGCTGCAAGTTCCGCCTCGCGCTCGGCCAAGAGAGACAGCGTCGCTGGCAGTGGAAGGTTCTGGGAAGATGACGTGCCCATCGTGGCGACCTGTTTCGCACGCAGTCCGGCAATCGTGGATTCAAGGTTCTCTATCGATTCTGGGAGTGCTGAAAGTTGTGTCATCTGTAGTTGCACTTTTTTGTATCCTGTAGCAAATAATACTTAGCGCCGCTTCGTGCCATAATGGGCGAAAGGCACTCACGACTCGCCAGATCCCGACCCATCTTCTCCATATCTTCAATCATGATCCTAACTTCTTCCTTGCGCGACTTGAGCTCAGCTTTCACCTCTGCTAACTGCGCTTCCAAGTCTACGTTCTCATTGTGTCCGACGATCAGGGGAGGATCGCCCACGATTGCTCGCAGGAACTTTTCTTTTGTTACTTGCTCAACATAGGAAAAGCGCAATTTCGAGAAGAGTTCCTTCTCATACAAGTCAGAGAGAATATATAATGAGGATATAGCATATGCAGTGGTGAAAGTCCACTTATCTTATCCGTACCTTGTAGTGTGTCAAATCTGCTTGCAGGGAAGCAGGTGTGGGGCTATCGATGGCCGAAACGTCAGAGGTACGCTTTGACGGCGACGAATTGGATTTTTCGGCATCTGAAGCAGAGATAGGTTCGCTTATGCGTATGATGGCGAGACGAGTCTTCAGGTCGCCATTCTCTTGCTCCAACTGTCGGAGCTGTTCGAGTGTTTCAGCGGGGCTCTGGTCGGTCATCTTCAGGCGGTCTCTTTTCAATGAGGTACGTTTGGCAGCGATATGCGTGAATCCTATGTTTAAGCCCTGAGTTGGAATATCAAAGACTTCTATGCCTGAAAATCCCAGGTATCTGCAGAACGCGTTGGCTGGTAGATAACGGAAAAGTAAACAAAAGCTTATCGGACGATCCTGAGGGATACCGCTTTGATTGCCGTCTAGCGCGGCTTCCCCAGCCAGTGGTGAAGTCACCGCCTCACTTTATTTGGCACTGGCCATGAGCGGATAGTCTTCAATATTTCGTCAATTCACTCAGTTTATGTCTCTTTTCTCGTATGAATGATGTCGCGAAGTCTGTCTGCTGGCTAATTCTTGAATTTTGAAGGAGCTACCTCCATTGCCCACTTGGGCGCAATTGCCGCTGTCCTTTCTTCGCCCGCAATCATGCCTTCCAACACTGGAGAAACGAACGACGAACTGAGCAACGACTATGTTGCGGAAGTATTAGCCAAGGAGGCCCGTGACAGCTCGATGAAATATTCGGCTCAAGGACTGGGTGCTTATTTGCCTAGAAGGTACGATATTTGATGTGGAGTTGCACTGTGATCAGCGTTGTGTTGATGTATGTCGCCTCGCAGGCCTACAGGTGCAGCTCCTAAACCGAATACGAGATTTCTACGCAATATCATAAAGGAAACCGACAGTCATAACGCTGCATTGAAGCGGAAGGAAGAAAGGGAAGCCAGGGAACGAATGCGACAATTACGGGGCCAAGCTTCGTCTTCCTCTGCGAATGATGCCAAAGAACGCGACCGTCATCGATCCCGGCACCTGTTGGACAACTTGGACTCGCTAGGAGACACAAGAGGAAGCCGGGAATCAAGGCATCGCCCTCATAGGAGAAGCCATAGGAGTCGTTCAGCTTCCTCGGACAGAGATCGGTCCCGCAGACACCGACGAACCCATCGATCTGACGACAATGGTGAAAGGCGTCATCGATCTTCAAGGAAAGAACATCGCCGCCGCTCATACTCACGAAGCCGCTCTCCACGAGATGATCATGCCTCGAATTCTCGCGATCGCTACAGACAACGTCGACGCACGGTCTCATTGTCGCCCTCTCGCAGCCCATCACCAGACAGACACAGGGGTCGGAAAGGTAGAGAGCATACAAGATACAACACTCGCCGCAGCTCACTCGATGGTCGCACGACACGTGAACACACCACAGCACGTGAGAGAGGACGGACACCATCTCCTCCGAGAAAAGAGTCTGGGTTTGAGTCTGATCCACTCGAGGATTTGGTGGGACCACTTCCTCCTAGGCATGATGTCGACAGCGATTCGGGAGCGATTCGCTCTCGGGGTCGGGGCGCCTATAAAGCCAACTTGAGCAATATCGACGCTCACTTTGCTCCCGACTACGATCCTACGCTGGACGTCCACATGGAAGATGACGATCAAGATCAGGGAAAAGGGCCATCCCGACGTCCTGTTGCAGGCCTTACCACAGAGGAAGATGATTGGGAGCTCGCCCTCGAGGCGCTTCGCGACCGTGCTCGTTGGAAGCAAAAGGGTGCGGAAAGACTACGAGAAGCGGGCTTCAATGATGATGTGGTTGATCGATGGAAGAGTACTTCTAGTAAAACAGCCACAGGCGGTGGTGATGATGAAGGCAGACTTGAAGACGTGAAGTGGTCAAAGAAAGGCGAGGGTCGTGAATGGGATCGGGGAAAGTTTGTCAACGATGATGGACATATCGATGTCAAGGCTTCGTGGTAGCATTCTTTACAGGAAAAGGGTTCTATTCAGCAACCGGAGTATGGGGGCTGGAGTATTTCTGAGTGGGTATGGGATGCATACATCCAAGCCGGGCGTTATGGACAAGGTAGCTCGTTCAGTATGATTAAGAACATGAATTTAAGCAGTGAGCCTCCTTTACTTGGGACTGTAGTTGTCGTGGTCACCTGTCAGAAGATATTATGATCGCATTCAGCAAATTGTGGGCATACGAGCTCACAATGACAAACATAACATCATATTATTGAGCCTGACCATATAGGAGTCGCAGATATTTATCTTACTAACATGCAAAGAAAAATCAATGTAACTTCTGAAACATTTTCTCCAGCTGTGCTCCTAATCTCCACCCACCTGGCAAGGTAAGTGTTGATTCCGCGGCTTTGTCAGAGTGCGGAATTACTGACAACAGAAGGATTACTTTCTACCTACCAGGGATATTGCACCATATTTCTCAATCATGGCTTTCAAATTTCTAAGAATCGGTCAATCAGAATTGTCAATCATCATATGCCCGTCATATTTCTGAGAATTGCATGGTCAAGTGTGGAACCTTCACCTCTCTTAGATATATAACCACCTCGGTCCTGTCGTTTTGTTTCAACACCAGATCTTTGACTGACTCGCGCAAACTTTTGAATGAACAAATCAAAGAACATTTACACACAGTTACTCATTTGAATCTCTTTATCATCTTGACGAGCAATGACGGACCAATTCGCTTTCTCATACCCCTCTCCACTCGAGGGCTATGAAAACCTCGAACCACTGACAGAGTAAGGCTCCGGCTCTTCGGAGGATTTGAGTCCAGGTCGAATACTGCATAAGACACGAGGCAGGGAAACTAACTAGACTATGATAGTGAAAAGACAGAGGATGGAAAGTCCCTCAAGAACCCCCAGCATGGAATCTTAAGTAAAGCATACGAGGAATTCCCCGACCCTCTCGCTAAAGATCGCCGTGGAGGTTTTGATATCCATATATATCACTTTCAGGTTAGGAATCCTTCGAAATATTGATGACTTCTTCGGCCATAACTGATCTCCCGAATTAGAACAATCCAGACCAAGTCGCATACGCCAGAGCTCTACATGAAAGAATCAGACGCGAATGTAAGGGCGATTCTCCCCTGGCATCCAGTTTCTGCGAATATCCGGTTACCTCCAAGCCAAAGAACGGGAATGACTGACAGTATGCAGTCCCTGAGCTTCGGATTTACACCTTCTTCGACAGGCCAGTAGGACCTCATCCAGTTGCCATGTTCGAAGTCAACGTATTCACACCTGCCCAGTTCGGTGCGTTTGTACCTTGGCTAGTTATCAATAGGGGGCCGTTGAGCGCCTTGATCCACCCGAACACGGTCGATTCAGAGGAAGAACGGAATCATACGCAACGTGCTACATGGCTCGGAGAGAGGATTCCGTTAGATCTGCGGGTATTCAAGCTGATGAAAGAGGAGAAGAAGAAGAAGAAGAAAGAGCTGGAGGCTGTGCAGGACGCTGGAAAGGTATAGATCGATATCCTCATGTTGATCTGTAAATATGGGAACAATTCAGTGAACTGAACGGCCAGGAAAGCCGACCTCACGGACACGATAATTGTGTCGAGCTGTTGTAGAACTGTTTGCAGGGCTATTTACGTTGTGAATACCAAAAGCAAAGGCGTTATAGTAACTGCCTGTTAATATCGCTTGGGTTGAGTCGAAGATTAACCTGAATTAGAAGGCGCCGAAATGGTGAGTGAAACCCTGTAATACAACCCTTACCTTTCTGAGAATAAATGGTCATCTGGCAAGCTTATCTGATGACTTGAGTGGCGGCGACGGTAACTACTGACTCAAGCATCCCACAATCAATCAGCCGTCTTGACCAACAATATCACAGGATCCTTACAATGTAACCCGAGGCCAGCGTGACTGGACGATCACAAACAACCTGGTATTGGTTGGAATTCTTGACTGCATCACCCGCACCATGCTTATTTACGCTCTGGAATGACCCCTCATAGCCACTTATTCACTCAAGCCATGTACGGACGAACTGTAGCTGCAGCTCAGATCGTCTGGTCTTCACACGAGGTTGATTGGATTGTTCCTGGTTGCTCTCATGGTCTGTCAGCTGCAGCAGAATCTGACTCTAGCTTCAACTGCAGCGTGAAATAATATGTACTCTAGATTTGAGAGGTGGCCAGGATGGCGAATTCCTGAGGACTGATGATCATTCAGCCCTGGCTTCTCAGCACCCATTCTAACTTATAAATTGCCTGCCGTTCATCACTATCCTCTCTGAAATGATTTTGAACCGATGGCTGGATATTGCGCACAATTTAGGCTTAGACCGTTGATTGCCTCTGTCTTACCAATATGCGGGCTCTATGGGCGTTAGAGGCTTTTGCGTGGAATATGCTACAGCCGGCAGTCGCCACCGCAGATACTGTTATGAAAGATCTCGCGGCAACAAACATACCGAGCTTTGTGCTGGAATATGGTGCGTGTGTTTGCAGCAATCGAACATGATCTTCGAATTCTGACAATGGCGTAGCGCCTCTTGTATGGCTGCATAGCCAAGATCCGTACATGCCGTCCGACATTGGGCAGCAAGTTGTACATACTACGCCAATGGTTGACCATAAACCCATCCAAGGGGTCCAGTCACCCTTGACTCTTGACAACCTCGACATCTTGAACAGTCTGGGCAACACAAGCGTTTACTTGACATCCCAGGAAGGTATTAACGCTTCTCCGCAGCCAGCGTGGTTCAAGGGCACTGCTCCAGATCAACAGGGAAAGACGAACGGCGCCGTCTCCTCAACGATTATTATTCGTGATCACAACAATGGGACGGTAGATGCCTTTTATTTTTACTTCTATGCGTAAGTCATGGCCGGTATGTTCGGTGATGATTGTGGCAGACTCATGAATCAAAAGGTACAACGAAGGAAACACTGTCCTGAGTATGGAATTTGGTGACCACGTCGGGGACTGGTATGTCGAGCCGGAGGAGCATCAGCATTTGTGCACAGCTCATCAAATATAGGGAGCACAATATGATTCGATTTTCGAATGGGAGCCCCCAAGCGATTTGGTATAGTCAGCATGCTGGAGGACAAGCCTTTACGTACGACGCAACTGAGAAACAAGGCAAGCGGCCATATGCATACTCGGCAAAAGGCACGCACGCTGTTTACGTTATGGCGGGGTGAGTACTCCGTAGACCGACGCATAACCTTGATGATGACGGCGCGTGCTAAGGAGTGTGAACCGTGCGCAGCGATCATGACCATACGATTCCCCATCTCAATCTCCCCGCCGGATTTGTTGTTGACCATACCGACCGTGGTTTGCTATGGGATCCCATACTGAGCGCCTATGCGTATAGCTATGATGCCGACAGCAGGACCTTTCGGCCTTATGAGCCCAGTTATCCTGTTAACTGGTTGAACTACAATGGTCAGTGGGGAGATGATGCATTGCCGGGTGGGCCTGAGCTATTTGGTCAGAAGAAGTACAGCGGGGGACCAAATGGACCGAAATTCAAGAAGCTTGTTCGCGACAAAGTGTGTCCGGACGACCCATGCATCGTCATCCCATTTCGAGTATGGAGAACAGCATCGGTAGAGCAAGAGTGATCGGTAATGCAAGGGAAATGCGGGATGTAAAGCTTGATAACTGTGGAGACAAAGAGTTGAAGCTTTCAGGGCCCATTACTATGGCACGGTGGAGGCTGTGTTGGCCAAGATTGTGATTGCACAAGTCCCAAGACATTTCACTTGTATTACGTCCCAGAGTATATAGTAGTAGAATGGGCATTGCATAGAAAAAAAGGTGAAACCATGAGAAGTGAGCATGCTTTACTTACGGAGATTGAGACTGAATATCATTTGTGGAGCAGATAGTTCGCCGTTTGTATATTTACCGCTAGGTATGATCGATCGTTCGACATCAGGGACACTCAGGGGATCTGGAACTGACTTACACCTGAAGTGCAATTGCGCGAACTGGGAATGTGCGGCTTTCACAGTCCGAACGATATGCTTCTTTGAGTATTACTCATCGCTTTGGAAGAAATTTCGATGTCAGTTGCATTGTGGTTTTTATGGTCAACGGTAATGCATAATTAGGTATTTTTCAAAGGGCGGCGGGAGCAGTGAGCATTATTGTCCAAGCTCGTAAATGGAATTCCCATCACCGCTTGATCAAATACACGAGGCCTTAAAGCCTAAGGCCGCATGAGGAACCTTTGTTGTTCCGGCCCGAGACTAGAGTCAAAATCATGGAGGGGTTTGGAGTTCCAGGACAGATCATAATAATAGTACGGAGTAACTTTCCTCAGAGACTAGAAAGGTGGAGAGCTCTGCACCACGTGACCCCATATCTCCCGGCTGTTCCTTCCTGGATTGCGTGGTTTCTTGGCAAGCTAAACCAGACAAGGCAATGACCCCTGATTAAGTAAATACAGCAAGTAAAAATCAGACCCAGACAAAGCCTAGATAGTCAACAATGTCCGCCTCTGATGGATCAACCTGCATGAACGTTGGTGATGTGGGTGCATCAAGGAGAGATTAAGTATCCTTGGTGGCTCGTCACAACAGAGCTTTTCATACGGAGTACTTCTGATGTAATGGAGCCTTCATGAAAACAATGGGTCATTTTCAGGTGTTATTTCATACTCGACTGCCGTGGCCCCTGAATGTTCCCAAATGCCCTTGTGCTGGTGAATGCTACCTAGTCTAGTTAGCCACGAATGAAATTGCTCAGTCAAAGTGCCCCTCCGTAAAGCAAGCTAAAGCTTTAGCAGTTCAGCCACTAAGACCGAAGACGAGGGTGACCACGAGTCCAGGACCAGTAACGGAACCTAATTCTTAGCCAGTAGGTTCGTCGGAGTGGGGAGGGCTCGAAAGTCGAGCCCCTGGAGAGATTATTGTTTGCTAGGTATCTACTGCCCCTGAATCTAGTCGAGCTCAAAAGTTCCTCAATGACATTA